TTAATAAATCGTAACTAGCCGTAAAAGAAAGCCTATTTATTTAAAACTTTTATAACTTACTTCTTATTAAACGTTAAATAGCTAATTATTAATAAAATAAAATAAAACTATTAAGTCTTATCTAAAACATCTAGATCCTCGTCGTCATTAATTAAATAAACGGTTAGATCTTCTATATTTTTAAACCTTATAATAAAGTTTATAATCTCGAGCGATCTACCCTTATAATCGACAAAAAACTAATTATATTTAACTAAATTAATTTTATTAACGGTTCCCTTCGCCCTTTTATATCGCTCGTATACTTTGATTCTTTCTTTTTTTAAATAACTATTAGACTAATAACCCTCTTTTTAATATACGTAGTATTTTTAAGGTTTACGGAACCCTACTATAAAAGGCTTTTAAAAGCTATTTAGAGCTGTTCTTCCGTTTTAACCTTACGATCGGGCGCCGTATTTAGCTTCTCTTCCCTTATCGTTATAAATACGGTTAACTTAGTACTATCAATACGGTTCTTTATTAATTTAAAACTATTATTATTTAAATATCTTAATTTTAATATTAAAACCGGTTTTAAATTAAATATAAAGCGCTTTATAATCGTTAAGCTAGCTTTATAAAATAAATCTTACCTTATTAACCTATTAAACTATAGTTAATAAATAATCGACTTTTCGTTCGTTAATTCCCTTTATTAATAAGGTTTTATTAATTTTATTAATCCGTAAAATAAGCTTTTTAAAAATCTTTATTTTCGGTTTACCTTCTATTTCTTTTATTACCGATCTAAACAATAAGGCTTTAAGTTTAATAAAAAGCCTTTTTTTTTAATTGTTAATTTTAAAACGGCTTTAAAGGGCGTTAATAATCGTAATAAAGTCGTTTTAATCGACTATTATATATACGACTTAATAATAATATTCCTTAACCTTTTTAATAAAAACGATAATAATCGCTAAATAATATTAATAATCTTAAATCCTAGTCTTTTTATAATTAATATAGAATATAGTTAAAGTTTTTTATAAAACCTTATACTTTCCCTTTAAGTACTTCTTTTTTTTAAAGAAGATTTTATTTAAATCGGTTAATTACTATATATTAGCCGCTTCTAAGCTTAAATCTTTACGGCCTATTTAAAAAAAAAGATTAAGGCCGCGTTAGCTATAGTTAATTAATTATAATTTAATACTCATATTTAATTAAATAAGGCTAAATAGCCTCGTTTTTATTAACGATCCGTTAGCTATAAAAGAGGTTTATAAAAATAATAATAACTTTATTTTTAATAATATCCTTTTAATTAATATAAATCTTAAAACCGAGATAGCTCCGTTTATAATTTTAAATAAGAATTCAGGTTTTTTAGTCCGCTAAGTAAATTATTTAAATTAACTTACTACCCGGTTAACTTACGCTTTAAACTAAATTAAAAAATTAATTATTTAAACTATTGTTATAAAGGTCTTATAAAGCTACTTTACTAACGTTTAGTTTAGTAAAACCTTATTATTATAAATAAACTTATTAAATTCTTTAATAATCCGTTTATTTATAAATTTAAATTAATCGTTAGGCTAATAACCTAAATTATTAATTATATAATAAAATAAGGTTCGCTCGGCTAAGTTTTATTTATAATATATTTTAATTATAAATAATAACGCCGTATTAATTTAATTGTTATTAAGATCGTCCGTATCGTCGTATAGCTACTTTCTTTAATATATTTAGATATTAATAATAATTTATTAATCCGGGATAGGCACTCTTATTTACGCCTGGCTTAACTCGCTTAAAATCATATTACGGCTTATATTAAAATTTAAAATAATCGTCGTATTAGTTTTTAATATATTAAAATTTAACCTATTTAAAAGCAATGGTAGTAGTTTTTTATCGTCGCTCGACTTATTATTAAAAGTTAAATCGGTTCTTATACCCTAAGTTTACCTTATAATATTCTTTATATTTATCCCTTATTTTATAAATAAACTTTTAACACCGTTTTTAATTATTATAAGCTCCTTTTACTTAATTTAAATAGTTTTACTATACTTTAATAAAATAAATTATAGTTAATTTAATAACGTTTTAAACATATACGTTTCTCTTTAAATAAATACCTAAGAAGCGTATACGTTCGTTAAATAAATTATTACTATTCGGTAATCTACTTCCCTTTAATAAGTATAAAAAAACCGTTTTAAATCCGTTTTTAATTTTCTCTTCTTTAGGATTACCTTAGCCCTAGCCTCTTCTTTTAACGCCCGTTACTAAATTATAAAAATACTTATTACTTTCGTACGGTAAATACTTATAATAGGCTAATTAAGCTTAAAAATCTCGTAATAATTTTATTTTTACTTATAAATCGTCGTTAAAGCAGTATTTTATTCATTTATTTAAAAAGATAATAAAAAAGCCGAAAAAAAAGTTAAATTAAATAAGATTTTACGAAGTTTATTTATATTTTTGATTTCTTTTTTAATTTAATTGTTATATAATTTAAATTCGTTAGGGTTATTTCCTTTACTTTTACTTTTATTAAAAAACGTAAATATAATCTATTTAAAAAATCTTTTTAATTCTTAATTGCGCGGCGCTTTAATATATTTTTATTAAAAGCTTATTCTTTACGTTTTTAAAATTAAATAGATTATATAATTTATTTTTTATATTTTTTTTTATATTTATATTTCGTAGGCCGTAAAATAAACATAAATATTACGCGATCCGGTCGTAATTAATATAAATATAAAATAAATAGATTCGCGTATTTATTATAAAAAATAAATAAAAAAAAAATAAAAAAAAAAGTTTTTTAAAATTAAAAAAAGTATAAAAAAAAAGGACTTTTTTAACGGTCAGTAGTTAATTTAAATAGTTCTATTAATAAATTATTTAAAAGCGTTATTAACGTAGTAAACACCTCCTTTTTAATAAAAATTTAAAAGATCGGAAATCTTTTATTTTATACGGTGTTAAAAAGTCGTTTTTTTTTTTTTAATCTTTATAAAAGGTTAAAATAGCGTAATTCTTTTATCCCGTGCGGTATTAAAAGGTCGCCTTTTTTATTTTATAATAGCTTTATTAATTTACGATAATAATTAAATTATTAATTAATATTAGTTTACGTAATCATAAAGTAATTTATTTAATCGAACCGTAATAACGAAAGGTTAATTACTTTTATATTAATCTCTACGTAAAATAGAAAAAAAAGGTTCTAACCATTAGTTAAATCGCCGGTCAAACGCTAATATAAAGACCCTTAGATAGTCCCTACGCTGGCGCTAACTCGAGGTCGAATTAGGCTTCTAATCCGACAATTTCTTTATTAATAGACCTAATAATTACTTAAATTAATAAATAATAGTATGTTAATTATTTCTTATAAAAACGGCTTTCTTAAATTATTAAGCTTATTTCGCCGTTTATAAAAAATAATATATATTTCAAAAGTATTATTAATAAAAACTTAAAGTTTTTTTAACTATTATACCTTCTTAATTATTATTAAAAATATTTTCGAAAAAAAGTTATATATATTTTAGAATTTCAAATTAGTCTTAATATTAAAAATAATTTTTAATAATATTTTAGCGTTAAGAACTTTCGAAAATATATACTATATTATTAAAGTATATATATTATATTGTTTTTATAAATAGCATACTTATTAATAAACTACCCCGTATAAACGAAATATTCTCTTATTAAAGCTTACGAATAAGTGAGATAATTAACTAACGATTTAATAAAAATAATATATTTATAATAGCGTAAGCTACGTCGAAGAATATACTTCTTATTTAATTAGTAAAGCTAAGCGGTCGCTAATAATTAGCGATCCTCGTTATCGTCGATCTCTTAATATAACCGATAATCGCCGTCTTTTAATTGTGATTATTGGCTGATTTTTTAATCCGAATTAAGTAATATTAAGTATAAGACTTGATTCTACCTTAAGAGTCGCCATATTCTTACTGTCGGGCGGTAGGACTGACAGGCGCCGTGGGGCTGGACATTTGCGGCTGAGGTGAGTGGCGTTCCTAGCTTGGAGCTTGGGGCGCCTGGCGCACGTTTCTTGGCGATAAGCTGGTGAGTTGTCTCATGGTGGCAGATGGGGTAAGAGGTTTCATGCACGTTGAGCTGAAGTGGCCGGACGGCATCTGTCCCCGTTTAGTAAACTTACACGTTCCTCCTCACTTAATATGGCAAGGCCGGATAACATGGAAAACTTTAGCCTGTTTTACTTTGAAATCTGAAGCTACCGTCATTTAAGAGACCGACTCTGGCAGCGAACGACTTCGATGCCTTGGGTACACATTGCCCGGATCTATAGTTGCTTCGTGCTGTTCCCGAGAGCCCAAATACATGTACATGGTTAGAATATTTGATCAGAAAGAGTGTTTTGTGAACATGCAGCAAGTAGTACGCTCCAGAGACCTTAATTGTGGGATGACCCCAGCTTGGCGTTATACAAATTAAAGAAAGAGGCTCGTAAGATATCATTAATCGTCGTTTAATGGTGAATAGTCAATTGGCTACTTAAAGTATGTTTAATGCCTCATCCACGTATCAGAGATATGCCTACGCTACACGAATAGTATCCTCTTCCTCTCCAAATGGTTCAGGATGTTTTCACTGGTACTTATAGCAGAAAGGGCCGCCATGAATATCCACCATGTCAGCAACAATCAGATCGTGGCTGAAATTAGTGAAAGACAGCAGGTACTCCAGAGTGACGTTCTGGTAGGCAGGATTAGTTGTACAAACACGTGAACAGGTAGCCGGATATCACATTAGGGCCACAAATATCCGTCTTACGCGCCGGCCGGTCTGCGAAAAGGGATTTAGTTGTCAGTATCGGAACTTCAAAACAGACTGGGCTATAAAGATGCAGTGGAAGATTGTTGTAAGTAAACATATCTTTATGTTGCCAGTCATTCCATATCTCATCCAGGGCACCATGTACCAAGTAGAAGACGGGGTCACAGGGACGAGTACATGTCAGCGCACTATCGGGGAATCACAAGTTAGCTTAACCATCAAAGAGGAATAGAGGTTACATTTATCATGAGAGGCATCTCTTCCTACATCTCTTACACCGCCGCCAATGTCAATGCGCAAACCCGCATGCAAGTTCATGTCGCTAACCTGCATGCCATAACTCTGTATGGCCAAATTGAATTCGGAAAAAGAGGATGCTGAAAGAGTCCGACTGATGGCATCGTCGCTAAGGGCGCTTTTAATGATAGGCAGACTGAAGTCGCGACGGAGGCATTGGGGTGTAGATTTGACAGAGTATCCTTGACTGGTCAACGTTGCAAAAGTTTACACCCGGCCATCGTATTAAAAGTAGAGACTGGAACTTACCGAGGCCATGGGAACAGTGTGCTTAGTAAAACGCCCCTCCACAATGCAGCCTTGTTACTCAAGTCAGCTAGATCTCACCTTGTAAACGTCTCTGATAAAATGACCACCACCGCTTCTGCCCGGGATCTCGATCAGTTTCTGGACAGGAAACTCATCTTTGTCGCTCACATCCTCAATGAATGAGCCGTTGCCCATTACACCGTATACTTAATCAAAGACTGGAGAGTTGAAAAAGCCCTCGGCAGTGATATCAAGGCTGAAGCCCCAGTATGGAAGTGTACCGCTATATCAGCATGTGTTGCGGAGCTCGGATTCCTACAGATAAAGCATCCCCCGACGCCACCTGTGTACTATCAGTTGATACGAGCAGATTTGCAGGTTTAGGGACTGGACATCTTTCACTCACGGGAGAAAAGGACCCTGTCATGGTGAAAAATTAGACATCTCATCTCAATTTCGACTCTCGGGATGTCCAACGGCACAAAACTTGCATTGAAGTGCACCTTGTGCATCGCGTAAATGTGCATACCCTGGAAATTGTCGTAATAAGACTTTGCACCGGGCCATATGTCGTTTCCCTCGGACGGCAGAGCCATTAGACTTTTTACGGATCGGATGTAGTCCCGGCGCTGGTCCAGAGACAGCTGTCGCCACTCGTGTCTGACGAGAGGGTTTTTGCAGTATCCTGAGTGGGTTGCATTCGAGGGGGCGGCAGCGACGCCGTGCTGCTGTAGGCTCGCGAGGGACCTGGCAGCTAGAACCGCAGACGTGAAGGACTTCATGGCGGGAGCTATGGAGGTAGGGGGAAGGCCAGTGTGAGACACTCGAGATCAATGAAACGACAAGCCTGCTCAAGTGAAAGCGAAGGAGGCTTCTGGAGTGACCTTGCTGGATGGATATATACAATGCCATGGTCAAAAAGCACCTTAGCTCAGGTGGCATCGGGCCCTCCACCCCGAGAGACATGGGTATTTTGTGGCAATGTATCGCAGCCCTAGTTGCAGGACGCCGGGTTGTGGGATGGAACACTTGTCCTGGACTACTGTCATTGGCAAAGGGGTGTTTGGACAGCGGTTGAGCTGTCACTTGGTCGGCCCACCCTGAATATCTCTCACATTCATACACCCCTCACGAAATCTCTTGGGATTTAACGCAATATGCCCAAGGGAACCCTACTCCTGGCTTCTCCTCGCAAATTACCGCCGATTTTGAAAGATTTTCTCCTGTGGCAAACCTGCAATGAGAATCATCAAGGGTTGGCCATGTTGTGGATGTGAAGACATTTCGTTGCTGGCTCTCCCGAGTCTCTTCTTATCCGACAGATAAATGGGAGCTAAAGAAGGGGAGCAAAGAGGAACACAATATCCCTGCAAGCGGCGGGAACGAACCGGATGCAGCGACGGCAAGAGGCTAGTATGCATGCGTTAGTGTGCGGCGTTAAAGAAAGGTTGGTATCCCGTCCCTGCCAACGTCTCAGGGGGTTTTGGTCGTGGCACTTTCCCAACGTTAGACTTCGCAGAGTGATTTTATTTTCCATCACGTCTATCTCGTTGAATATCAGACCAAGATCTAGATGGTGAGGATCTACTCACGACAAGAGGCCATTAGAAGAAGCCTGAACCCACTACATGCAGGTCACCACCATTGCTCGAAGCTTTCTATTCGCGAGTTACTTTTGTTACTGCTGCAGAAAATACATTGACCGTTTTATTCTCAAGGTGCTTTTGAGAACAAGGCGGGGCCGTGTTGGTTTGGGTTTGTTAGTGGAGTGATTTCGTGGCAACAAGCAATCCCATGAAAGTCGCCATCAGAAGGCCGCTTGGAAACTGATTCGTAAAAGGCACACAAAAATAAGCGAGAAATATGTCTGACGGTTGTCGGTATTTTAGTTTGGGTTGGTAGCAATAAGCACATCAACCAACGGAACATGCTGTTGGCAAGGGTTTGTGACTTGGCCTTCCGCGTTCAACCATCATCTCCGCTCACCTGTTGGAACCCAAGAAAAGGCAGTCAACTTTGTTGGCCGATAGGAAGGATTCCTGGGACCAATTGGTGAAAGAATCTGAGAACTAACAGTAATTTACGTACGGGATCGAGCAGATGCCCAGAATGTTGATGCGGCCAGCTGGAATATGGGAGGAACTGGCGTGCTCTGGGCCTGGCCATAGTTTGAGGTCCCTTTGCCAAGTTCAAGTTTTGTTGGTCGGTGACCAAGATCCTAGAAAGATGATATTGGCAAGTTCCGCATACCCGGAATTGAAGCTGACGAGCTTCTGTCCTTGATTGTGATTTCTGTGACAGGACAGTATATGGGCCCTCTTCATAGCTTCCAAGCTCTCAAAGACCAGTTGAAGGTTAAATGCACACTTTGGATAGCGGTGAAACAGAAAAACTTGGCAATGAACAAAGCTGTCATTCATGCATTTCAAATCTTTGCCCGCATGTACTCGACATTGCATAATGCAAATAATTCAAGACTGTTGCCGACGTACCAACACACCATCGGGATCCCGGAAATCAGGGGGCCATTCCTTGGCCACTCCTTTGGCAAAAGTAATCAACCTTTGGAGGTACGCGTGCGGCGCGGCCATAGTGAGAAAGGTCCTTGCTGGGTTTCTTTTCAAGTCTGGTAGATCCATGTGAGGTACATGAAGAAAACCCCAGATCCTGATCCTGGTATTCGTCTGGCTGGAAAAGAAATCCCCAACCAGACATTTCTTTTCCAATTCTTCTCCGTCCAGCTACGATGGGGGTTGTCTGCTCCCGGTCTTTCATCTTCAACTTTACACCAGTGTTCATCAATCTTTCGTTACTTCAATTTTTGAAGTCGTCTGGACCTGCAAGATGACGAAGAGGACAGCGACGCCGGAAACCCATTTCACGGACTCGCCAGACTATATTGGGGACAAGATATTGCAACTCAATATCGCGCTCACAGTCTGGACATCGATAATAGTGGGAATAAGATAGTATGTCCGCTCTTTCATCGCAAAGCCCTTAGGCCTGGAAGATATCCTGAAACTCCTGGCTGGGTGAGTCGGCTGTATCATTTCCCATTGGCGAAAAGCCTCCTTTACTCAAACAAGCGTAGGTGTTGTAGACAACACAGTCCGCTTTTGATATTCGTCGTGAGCACAAGAAATCTCGAATAATAGGCAATCCTGGCTGATGACATTTCAGTGGTCCGGTATGGAAGCGGTGCGCAACTCGGATACATCCCGACGGCGGACTTTACGATATGGCACGATGTAAGTGGAAAACGATCCGTCTCTCACTATAGTAGGAATAGAGCTCATGGTTCTTTAATATCCACACGGATTTGTCAAGAACGGCATGCTTTACATTATTGGTACCGGTCTAATGAGACTTTCGATCGTTGCTTTTCTGCCCCGTCTGAGCCAAGACAGTATGCGTTCCTATTCAACCATGCTACCTGGATCACCCGATCGTTGAATTCCTGATTAGGAACCTATCTAATCATCAGTTACACAACTGGGTTCTTCGTCGTAGTGCAGACGCTGGGATGCTTCATCTACCGCCTGACCGAGTGCAACCCTGTGTCGTACGTTCCCCACCATCTCGCCCACCGAGAGCACGACAGCTTCTGACCATTGTACCTCACAGACATTTATAGAAGCCGCCATTCTTTCCCAGAAAGAACTGCGTACCGTCCAAGCACCAAAATACCATAATGATGGTGTACTAGATCGTCGGCTTTATTCCAGACTTCTATCTTATAGGATTACCTATCTAGGTGGTCTATACCAAGATGCTCTGGTCCAAAAGAGCGTTTTAAATGATTTTTATTTTAAGAGTAGAATCTGAATTATAACAACCGGCTGCGTTCATCTAACAATAATCAATAAATACTACTTCCATATTAACCCATCAATCTAATTAAATCAACATCGTAATTACTTACAAAAGAAATAAGGCGAAGCTAAGAAATAAAAAATAATATATTTCATATGTTTATAATTAGAATCTGGAATAATTTCAAAGGACACGTTGGGCTCTAGGTCGCCTCCTCCCCAGCGCTCCAGCCCGTCTTCCGCATCATGTTATTCAAGATCGGCTTCCGTAGCAAGTTGGATAGCTATGAGAAAGATGGGCCATCTGTACTGGTGGCGGTGGTATCTGTTAAAAGACAGGGTCATGGTTAAGTATGCTTAGAAGCAAGGCCGGTTATACGTGTAATGGGAGTGACTTTGATAGGGCCGATATTTATAGCGAGCGGCATCTTGTACCCTATGCTAGGGAGGGCGGCGGTATGCCGATGAAAGTTGTTCGGCCTTTTCAGGGCGGTCCTTGAGTCCCGTAAGGTCTCAAGGAGCTCTTCCTGCAAACGGAGCGTGAGGTCCGAGTTCCTTGGACTGTCCTGTTGGCTCTTCGAGCCGAGCTCTTGGAGCATGCGGTTGTTGTAACTCTGTGCTCTGGTGCTGTGTTAGTTTTTGTGCCGTGTAGGCTGTGATAATACGATCTACCAATCTTTTCAATCATCTTTGCGACGTTGTACGCCGTCCCGCTCAAGTCCTTTGCTTGTAGGAACGACGTTGGGTAAAATAACTATATTGTGCGCGTAGCTTTGATAAATGCGAGAGGGTATGTGGTCTTTCGCTTGGCCGCGGCGCCGAACCCCCCGTGCGCCTGGCGCATTTTTTTGGTGTCTCTGATGGGGAGCATACGGCCAGGGTGATTATGAGCATCAGGTGGTAGAGCGCGTCGTCGATCTTGTTGGCGAGGCAGTTCTTGGCCATCTGGCAGTGGTCCAGCACCTTGGTGTCGCCCTTGGCGGAGAAGAGCGCCTCGGCCTGCTCAAGACGGGGAGGAGGAGGAGGCCGGGGATGTTATTGAGGGGCATAGGGCAGCCGAAGTCGATACGGCGGCGGTGCTCCTGACGCTGCAGCCGTTCTCTCGGCGTTCTTTTGTGCTTGCTTTTTGCCTCCGAGGCCGCCTCCGTCGCGGCCTTGCCCCCAAGGGGTACGATGCTCCTCGAGGTGAGCCGGCCGCGGACGGAGTCCGGTACCACTTGATGCCGGCGGCGAGGAGACAACCCGAGACGGCAGCAACTCACGTGGCCGGGTCGCCCAGTCCCCCACCCGATAGCCCGACAGCACCGGGGCAAGCGCCGCATGCTACTACTGCTACTACTGCTACTAATAGTACTACTACTGATATACAACGTCCCCAGGGTGTAACCCGAGCTCCATTAAGGGGATCAGGGATCGATTAACTTTGCTTAAGATACAAGTCAGCTGGCATACGACCACAGACTAATTCCACCCTAGACGGGGGTACTGCTTTCGTACCTTATACCCGATACTTTCGAGAGGGTAAGCAAGAGCATTCAATATCATTATAAACCCAAGTCCCCAGCTGCCGCTAGTACCCTTACGTATCCGGGCAGCATCCTTCCTGATCACTGGGGTCGGTTCCCACTGGTAGCGCCGTTTTTGTTTTTCACGGATGGCCGAAACTTAAGCACGTCTAGCCTACAACAGAGTCGTCAGCGTTGGAAGAGGGCTACGTCGTTATGCAGAGGGCGACGCCCGGTCCCGGAGCGACGTGTAGGTTTGGGAAAGAAGGTTTGATTTAGTATCCGTACAAGAACTAACAAACGGCATAGACCCCAGACCCCGACATTTTTAGCTTCGGGCACTGGAAAAGTAGTATTGGGCACAGGGTGCGTCCGAATGGGACAAACAATTCCAGGAGCCGTGATCCACCATCTATCGTCCGACAGGTACATACCTCCTGCCTAGGACTGGCCCAACCCCCGACACGTCTTTGCATAGCTTGAGTACTTTGCATAGCTTGAATACCAGGTTATTTATACCGCCCGATTCTCCTCCTCGTCTGGCCGAAAACGATAACTACCTATGTGTTGGTCACAGTTCGGTTTCGCCGTGTCCCAAGCAGCCCCAAGGCGCACCTCCCACCCGCTTGTTCCGTCGCTTTCATCGCCCGTCCATAAGCCCCCGTCCATATGGCAACTCCACAACGGTCGGTCCCACGCCAACCTACAGGCTGGTGGGCCTTTGGCCTCGGCGACCATCCCACCTGGACGCTTCCGTTGATCGGCACACTGCTCGCCGCTTTGCTCCTCGGCCACGACCATTATCTGTCTCCACACACGCGGCCTGTCCCGTCCCCAGCATCATACTCGATTCGTCTCCTAAGCTGGGATCCTCTCATTATATACATCATCGACTTTATATCCCCAGCCGAACGCAAGGCCCTCTTGAATCTCGGGTACGCCTAACCACCAGTTCCCACATGCCATCCAACCTAAGTACTTAGACATCTGACATCCAGTGTCGGCAGGGAAACGCTGTTCGAGAGATCGAAGGTCTACTATGACGGAGAGGACAGCATAGATCCTGCGCGTAGTAGTACCACCGCATTCCTGCCTGATGCAGACCCTATTACGGAGAGAATTATCGCGCGAGCGTCAGAGCTACAGGGGTACACCCCCAGGCATCTCAGCGAATCCCTCCAGCTCACCCGGTATAATGTGGGACAATACTTCTATCCTCATTTCGACCCGTTAGAGGTCGAGGGCAGCCTATCCGTTCACAGGTTGACTACTATATTCGCTTTCCTAGAGGCCACCTGCACCGAATGTGGTACCCAGTTCCCAAACATCCATCTCAATTGGTCTGCAGAACATCCCAGCTGGTGTGACTACGTCGACTGCCAAAAAAGGGCTTTAACCGTCAAGGCAATTCCAGGCAACGCCGTTTTGTGGAAGAGCTGGAACAGTTCCGGGCATGTAGACGTGAGGACTCTGCATGCCGGACTGCCCCCCGAAAAGGGCGTTAAAACGGGGCTTAATATCTGGACCAATGGGTAGACGATCACACTCGCGGTCCCGTACTGCTCCACCCAGGTCATCATCCACCAAGGCAGAAGGGAGAAAGAGCGCAAAGATTGGAGGAAACTGGGATCGGTGGCGGAAAGGGGCAAGGGTCAAGGAGGGGGGGGGGGGGGGGGGGGGGGGGGGAAAACCCCGCCCCCCCCCCCCCCGCGAACGATAAAGGCAGAGGGGAGGGGGGGGGACGAGAAAGAGAGGGGGGTGAGGGGGGGGGGGGGGGAGGGGGGGGGGGGTGGGTGGGGGGGGGGGGGGGGGGGGGGGGTGTCAAGAGAACCGCTCCCACTCTTTCCCAACATCACGGCTAACGCTTACCTAAGGGGGTCTATACACCAACTGTCAATACGATACCCGTGTTTACCAAGGAGTACCGTGCACGCTGGTAAATATATTTCTTAAGTATGAATAGGTTTAGCCACATTATTTATTATTCTATTGTGGACGGCACAGCGGACTCGGATGCTCCAACAGACGGAAACGCGGAGAGGAAACCTGTCATACTTCCTAGGAGGAAAGCGCGCGTCCGACCCTAAGGATTGGTCGCCAAGCGTAGATGTTGTTAAAGAGACGATTAAGTTCGCCATGAGCATGGAGAGGCTAGATGTATAGATTAGCTAGCAGCGAAACCACACGTAACTAACATCATTAAATTAACCGGAGACACCCTTACGCATCCTCGTACCATCGATAACTGGACTAGCTTCGGCCGCCGACGATAGGACGTCGAATACTTTAAGAAATAACTCCGAAATGGCCTGCTATTAACCCCACGAGCAACCGTAGCATCGGCATGTAAAACTTCAAAAGACGAACAAGACTTGTATGGGCTTCTGGGAGGCAAGGATATGAACGAATGTGGTGAATATGTAGATAATCATGCGAGCCCTAAACAGCTTAGCCGGGGCGTAATAAACTATGTATGTATGCATGTATTATTCTATTTTGAAACTCTAATTCTTAGTAATCCTAAACCCCACCCTAACTCACAACTTAACTTACGTGCCGACCTTATCTATTATCCTCAATCAGGCTAGAGACCCCACTGACATCTCAGAAATGCACGTACCAACGTGTACGGTACTCCTAAGTGAACTGTGGATGCGCATTGTCAGGAGGTCGTATCACTCCAGGTCAACCGACTATACCTTACCTATCCTACTTCAACTCACACGACCATCAAAGTGTACATTAAATATGTAAAAGGGACACGGGACCAATGAAATGAGGTAGGGTTTCTATGACACTAAACAACCTAACTAAAGCAATTCCCCAATCAGCTAACATCAGGGATCAAATCTTCCTAGATCGCCATCCTGAGGTCTGAAAACAAGATCCTTTGGTAGGGAAATAACCTATTTAGCCGGCGCCGGGGGGCCAAGAAAACTTTCTTCCAGCAAGGAGGAAGTCTTACTGTAGCTTGGGGGAGAGGACATTCAGTCACAAAGAGAGGCAATAGCCCAGATTGAAAAAGAAACACGCCAGGATAGTGGTCGCCGGCTGAGGATTAAGAATGGTTAACGACGATACGGCATCTACGGGAACACAAGACAAAATGCGCAAACTTAACAATTTAGCGAAGAAATATATAAAGATAAAGATTCCGAATAGTTTACATTGAATTAACTGACGCCGCTGCTTGTATCTAATTGTGTTGTGGTTGCAATTTCGTAACACACTCGGGTATCTGCGTTAATCGTTTATCAACCACGTTGTACTACACAGGTCCTGAGTATAGCTTCTAGAAGTATAATATGGATATCTGTCGTTGTATTTCTTAAAATATCCTGCACTACCTGCAGCAGATCTATAGAAACGCATGGCATCTATCCTATATAGGGCTATCCTAAACTAACTATGCCTTATAGTAAGTAATGAATGTATCAGGTCAGGTTTACAGAAATGAGTAATGAATGCATGAGGTCAGGTTTACCTAAATGAGTAATGAATGTATCAGGTCAGATTTACCGAAATGAGGGTAGCCCAGGTTCTGTCACTATCTTTGCCATGTGCCGGTCTCGACGGGATAAGTCCTGGTAGCAAATCAAAGCACCCCTACCGTCCTTGCAATAGACCTCCGAGCCGGAGCAGAAGGGGGAAGTACTCCACCATTATGGCTTATCACAGGCCGCGATTCCGCTGCCGAAGACTCCGGCGGCAGCCGACATACAGGTGACTAGCTGCGATATGACAGCGGGCGTTCCAATTCCACCCGTCAGTATGTGGGTAGCGAGGGCGGCTCCCGCGCAAAGCACCTCCGCACCGGCCAGAACAACGGCCTCCCGGTTGACACATTTGGAACACTCGTCCTCTCCTTTCCCTTTGGCGCAGAACGGGTGGAGCTTTCGTCGAGTTGATACGGTTGCTGCGATTGCTGCGACTTGAGCTTTATAAGCTTTATTGACCTCGGTCGAACACTCCGAGTCGTCTTTGCACTCGACAGGGCTCTTCTCGGTGCTAGGGCCGGATGGGCTGTATATCTCTAGTCAGCAGCATATTCAATCATAAAGCAGGAACTAACAAGCATCAGCGGCACCTAGAGGGGTTAGTATTGACTTACGGTACAGATCCCTTTGGCTTGGATTCTTTGGGGTCCCCTGGCTGGGAAGAACCGGGTACGGTAGGCCTTTGCGCTGCGTTAGCTAAGTCGGCCTGGAAAGGGCTCCAGAAGCCGTGGGGCGATGTAAATAGGGGGTTCATACGGGGCGGCGGCTCTTGGCTCAGTCTTGGCTACGCCGAAGTCCAACCCCTTAATAAAGGAGTTCACTATCTCTTCGGCAACGGCGTCACCATCAACATGGGCATTGACGGGGGTCCAAGCGGGTTCGTCAGTGAGAACCGTCGGGACGGCCAAACCCTGGAGAGGAGCGAAGGCAGCAAGGATAAAGACGTAGTTGATGTACATGTTGATAGTCTGTGGGGACAAGAGGTGACTAGATTTAGTTAGTGCGTCTGATTGTTGGCGAGTCTCAATATTGGATAAAGATAGGTCTCTCAGGTCGTAACTCGATTGCTAGACAGCGTAGCGCAGATTTATATAGTAAAAAATCCGTCGCAGGGTACATACGTTGTAATTTGCTGCCCGCAATCAATAGCGTCGTTTTTGCGACAAACCACACCTGAAAACAATCCCTTTGGTGTTGAAGGGAAGATGGGCAACATGCTCATGGCGAAAGCGGCGAGATGGGTACACTTTGGTCTGTGTGAGACAGGCCAATCAGAATTCTCAGATTAGGACGTGCCATTTGAGGGTTTTCCTTGGAAACAAAGGGACAATGACAATACACAAGACCAATCAATAGACACATGGATAATCATCAACACTAGGCTCAACGTTCTGGAGGAAAGGGGCTAGCAAGCAAGTACAAACTCATTTTCAATTTCGTTAGAACTCCTTCAAGATAGTACATTTGAGGTACAATATTGCTGAATAATAATAAAAATAATATCTAATTTTAAAGGGATTATTTTCTATTTTCTTGTTTTTTTATATTTAATTTATATTTAAGATTAAAGAGAAAAATTAATTGTAAGGGGTTTAAAATGTTATTAATTGAGATTATATTTTAAATATATAGATACTTCCTTAACGCTTAATTTAATTCATTATTTTCAAGACCTCCTCTCATATTTTTTACTTTTAAAAACTCTTTGATAATTTACTTTTTATATTTATAAATCCTTAAAATTCCTAATTATTTATTAGTATACTTCTTATTAAATAAAAAAGTTACTATATTACTTTTTTACTAACTTTATAAAAGTTGTTTATTAGAAACTTTATAATGATTTAAAAGAATAAATGTTAATTGAAATCATAATTTAAACATATGAAACTTGATTAAAATAAAAAAAGAGTATTTTGTATACTTGAAGTACTAAATTATGAATTAAATATATAATCTGTACTATTTATCATATTTTATATAACTTATTATATTGAATTTATATACTAACAATAACTATTAAACTTTGATATTTAAAGATTTAAAAATATTATTTATTAAAAAGTTTTCATCTTGATTCAAATTAAAAATATATATTATTATTGCTTTTAAAGTTTTTCAATAAACTTTTTAGTTAATATGTCTTAATTTTAGTATTTCGATTAGCCTATTTTAATTTATTTCAAATAGGTCTTAGTTGCTGCTTTTATCATCAGCATTTTGCTTATCTTCTTTCTTACAACAGGCACTTTTACATAAAGAACTACCGCCGGGGCTGCTGGGCGTAGGCTGCTTTTCGAACACTAAATTTAAAACTCTCTCTCTCTCTCTTAGTTACGCTATTGTAGACGTTGCTAATAAACTTTGCCTTATCAATATATTTACTTTACGTTGTAGGTTTAGTATAATACCTAGTTAAAAGTCTAGTTATGGTAATTAACTTCACACCGATTACTCTATTTATTATTAAACTCTTTTTAAAAATAATAGGAGTGTAGGCAGTATTATTAAACCTTATTAAAAACCTTATTAATTGTATTTATGTATATTTTTTAGTCTTTATCTGTACTTAAAGTTAGTACAAAGAGAAATAAGAGCATCTCGGCTTTGTTAATTCTAGTGAGGGAATCCCTGTTACTTGTGCAGCTAGACTTTTGACTACTACTTATATTTTTTAAAGTATATTATATGAATAGAGATTTTCTTATCTAGTGCGATGACAAAATTCATACGGCCAGCTTGTTAGCAGTGAAGGTTTCTGTTATTGGAAAGGAGTGGGGCTTAACCTACGCACTTTATTAGGCAACTCCAGGAGCAATTCTTTATTAACTGGAGGAGGGAGCCTGAAGGGTCCATCATCATCCTAGGAACTAGAGAACGAACCACATGAATAGCAGGCAGACGTACTTAATTGTTATCACTTATTCACATCCATTTGAGCCTAATTATGCTCTCAGACCTTGATCATGCCCTGATCAGGACATGATTCCATCCCCTGGGGTGTAGCTGAGTCTCAGGAGTTGGGGTACTGGTTGTAGTTGGTGGTATCTAGTCAGCCTTCCGTCCGCCCATCCTTCCGACCAAATTCATTACCTACCCGGGATGGGGGGTTTTCAAAAAGGGTCTATGCCCATAGCCGACTTATGTATCTCTGCGCCTACTCCTATTCCTCATGATACTATGGTGGTATGGGTAAGTTTAGTCTCTATACCAGGTATTGTGGGTCTGACACACGTCCAGCTGGGACTCTAAATGGCCATATTTATGCGTGACGTACACGAGAATTTCAAAAGTAAATTGACCCTTCGTTACTACGGTTCGACTCGAACAATCATCCCTGTGATACGGGAACCAATAGTCTTGGCCCCCCGAGCCGCCTTGGGGAATACTACCTCTTATCGGAAACAGAACCCATAGCCGGGACCTCTCCGTAATCTCCTCCCTCGTGCAGCAAATACGACGTCGCAGCGAGACTAGGGAGCTTCTGAGGACCTTTCTCAATGGTGCCAACTCTGATCTGTCAGGCTTTATCTGCCCGGTATAGTAATCCTCGAAAGCTTGAGTTGCCGTCGGCCGGTCTTCCAAAATCCTTGGCAAAAGCTTGACCAGTTGACAATCTGCCTTCAGACGGAATCTATTAGATTTCCAGTTCTTCGTTGAGATTAATCCACTCGATGTTGATTTAATAAGGTTTTGCAGTGCCGTTAGAGCCGAATCAATACGGTGGCGCCTGGACTTCCCACTAGTGCTTGTTTGTAGTCCCAAGCCCGCGCACGCCACATAGAAATCAAGCACCTCCTATGCCATACCAAAGAACATAGAACAACTATGATACTCCTGCCAAATCTCTATGGCATACCGGTGCCTTGCTCAGTATTCTCTTTCATTGAGAAAAGTTGGCATTGACGATAGGACCAATAGTACGAGGTCTGTGGCAGTCTTGATCTAGTGTTGGGGAGACTAAGAAACGCTTATCGAAGTATGACCCACTTCCTGTCGTTATGGGATGCTCGTAGACTCCACCTTGCGTCGGAAATTATACATCTAGTGAAAAAGGTTAATGATAATGACCATCTGTAAGCCATTGAGCGGCTCTTACTAATACCTCCCAGTACTAGCCTCATATTACGAGCAGGTCAGGGCAACCCAACTGTGGCACGAAGCAAAAGCTTATCCCCTGTTCTGCGCTATTTAGTCCCGCCGGCCAGCACCCAACTGATTAGACCACGACACCCCACACAGTTTGAGGAGGTGGAACACACGGTACTACAAGTATATCCTAAGAAAAATCTTAAAAATACGGCATATTCTTGAATACTCTTTTTAGAATTCAAAATTGCAGTAATTTATAAACATTATTGATTTCAACTTTTTTTTACAAGGACCGGCGATCATATATTGTTATAAAGGATAGAGCGAGGTAGTATTTAGAAAAGCTCTCTTTTATAGAAAGTTCAAAAATGCGAAAGTAAAAGGATGATTCGAGCATAACCGTTAAACTTCATTATATTAGTAGGCGTTTAATTGGAACGCAATGTTCATTCTAGCCAGAAGATCAGAAGCCGTCTTTTCCTCAGTCAAGTACCCAGGGCAAAAATTCAATGTCGTGCACCGAGTCCATCTCGTCTTCCTCTCCGACCCGGCTTCTCTTTCTCTCCGAATTTCCACTGGCAGGAGCAATAAAATCGCCGGGTAATCGGGCTTCGTCGAAGTAAACGCCGCATGATGATAAACGGGACTCGGTACATCACGTGCTGTGCGTACAGTGACATGACGTTGAAGACGGCTAAGCCTTGCATTGAGAGAATGGAGCCCTTTACTGAAATCTGCCCGACTCATTCAACAGGAACGTCAGGTGAAGACGGTAGCCTATAACAAAGTTTAGATTAGCATAGACCATGCCGGCTTTTCCCGGCACGTCCCTCTTGCCTACAGACGTTGAATACATCATCATCATCATGTGAGAATGGAGCGAATGTGATTGTAGACAAAATGCCGCTCAACCGCGAATTGGGGTTTCCGAAATAATTTGACCACCGATCGGAGGGCACGAAGGCTCACAGTACGGATCATAACTGTGGTTGCAGGCCGAAGCACAAACACCTGCGAAGCATATAAACGGCGCGACGAGCAGTTTTTAATTTTCTAAACGGTAATATCAAATCTCCTTTCTAAAAAGTCTAGTCTTACAAACCTATAGATAAACATTCTTCCTAAGTTTAAACATTGTAAGGTTTTTTAACTATATTAATAATATATTAAAAAATAAAACTTTAAATTTATTAAAAACGACGTTAACTTTTTATTACTTATGTCGTATTTTAAAAATTACTTCAAAAGGCTTTAAAGTTATATTTTATTTTTATTATTGTTCGCGCGGTACGCGTTATAAAATATTGCTTAATTTAATAATTTACAATAAATACGTTCGTTTAAGTAAAACAATAAAGGAACATAATATATTATAAAATACTATTTATATTTATAATTAATACAAACCTATTTTTAAAAAAGTTATTAATTTATTTTTAATCGAGCGTATTTTAAATAAGGAACGACCGCCTGAGCCAACAGCTGACGAGCGGGGGAATATCCTGGTTTAGACACGTTATTTGGCTCTCGCAAGTGATCTCGTCACGTGACTCCGGCACCTGATTCTTGTGTATTAGTCTTAGCTCACCCGTACCGGCCGTGAAGCGTGAAAAAAAACATTTACAACAGCGAGAACGAAATTTTTGAAACCAGAGCAAATAACAGCGCCATAACACGATTTAACCGGTTAATTAGATAGCCTTTTATTCGTCGTGAAGCCTATAGCGACATAGGCATCATGGTAACCCTATGGCCTAACGATTAGGCCTAGCTAACGCTATACCGAGAGCACGCCGTAGAACTAAGTAGATATTTTTAAACAGCACTAAAGTCGATCGAGACCGTAAATAGTTAACCTATCTAGCCTTAAGGAGTCAAAGCCGCGTTCATCGGTGCCCTAGCGCTTATTGTTAAATTATAAAATATCCTTAATATCGGATACGTTTATTAAGTAATTAAAAATTTACGTATAGAGATAAAGGTAGTTAATAAGAACGCTATCCGAACTATTAGTAATATAAGGATCGTAATCTAGTAGAACATAGCCGAAATTAAAGAGAATACTAATACTAATAAGTCTATTAATATAGCTGCTAAGGAAATACTAAAATCTAATAAGCTGACTGTTAAAATAGTAAAGGATATTAAAGCGCTAAGATCGATAAATTATCGGAGTACTATATAGTCTTATATTAGTATGGCCGTTAAAAAAGGATTTATAATAAGTATTTATAACTCACAGAACTAAAAATTTACTTAAGTCTAAACTATACGTAAGGTCATTATAAATATTAAAAATCCTATTATTATTATTAATATTAAAGTTATAAACCCCCGTAATTTTAAAGCATATATAAACCGCACTATTAAATATAATAATAATAAGTATATCTATAAATTAAAAATTATATCCGCGAACTAATTTAAAAATAGCGACCTAAATATTAAAATAGCTACTATTATAAATATAAAAGCCTTACGCTAATTCGTAAAAGATTAAAAATACTATATTAATAACGGAGCCGTAATACGGATTTTAATTTATAAAATCTTAGTATACGGTCTACAAACTAGTTTAATAGATATAGAACGCTTTACGGAACTTTAAAAGGAACTACTATAGGATAATAGAGCTTTTATCCCTACTATAGAAATTAAATATATCGAATAGTTAATTAGATCCTCTATTATAAAGTCCGCTTTGTCTATTATTATCGAGTTCGTTAAAGTAAAAAATATTAATAAGCTTATCGACGAAGGACTTATTTAGTAAAGCGAGGTTTTTTAATACGAACGATACGATAAATAATGCCGTTTAAGATAATATTTTAAATATTATATATATAGCTATAAGAATTTAATATAAAGTAACGATAATATACGGCTATTATATATAAAAATATATAACCCGAAAGTGCCCTTTGAAAAGCGATACGGCTATACTATGGAAATGTATAGCGTACTACGGCGAATATGAAGTATAGCACGGCCGGTGCCCGACTAGGATTCGGGAGCTGGCTAAAATTAAAACAGTATATAAATAACGATTGAGATACTACCCGGTAGCCAACGCGGCTTTAGCTATTATAAGAACTATTCTACTAACTAGGACGATATTAAGATTAGTAATAGAAGTAGGCTAGAGCCAGAATATACGCCCGGAACGTAGCAGATTATTCGTAAAGAAAAAGATATAGAAACGTTAGTAACTAGCTGAGAACTAGATATAAGACGAGAACGAAGAGAGGACGATTACTATCGCCTTAGTGAAAGCCCGGCCGAGACGGGCGCTAGTGCCCTCTCGACGAGCGCTTAAAGCCATAGACGTAAATACGTAGATAATAAACTATAGCCACCATATAGAAATTATTAACGATAGCGAATAATAACATAAAATACACTTATAATACTATAATATAACATTAAAAAGTTAAGAGACGTAGTGATAGCTACGCTCCTACGTAACCTTAAGATTAATAACTACGACATCCTTATTATCTAAGAGCTATAAGCAAATCTATATAACATTATAATATACCACTTAGCAAAGGACCGTTTCTATTTTTATTACTTATTAAATAAAGAAGACGGCCCTATTAAGGTATACTTTTTTATAAATAAAAAACTAAACTACTCTAAGTAGTAATTTAAGGAGTATAGTAAAGATCTTTATATTCTTATTTTAAGACTTTGTATAGCTTAGAATATTAAAATCGCTATATATAATATCTATAACTTATAAAACTAAAAAAACGGTAAGATACGATCCCTATAATAATTACGGACAGCCCTAAACGCTAACTAATATATAGAATAGATAATAATAAGAGACTTTAATTTTTATTATGAGTTATAAAGAGGAATTAATATCCGGACGCTAGACGTAGAAGCGAAAAAACTAATAAAACTTATAAACGACCTTAACTTTATTAATTAAATACCTATAAGAACGATTATATATATATAAAGGAACGGCTACTCGATAATAGACTTTTACCTTTTTATAATAGGTTTAGTAAATAGGCTTATTAAATATAGAATAGATAATAACGTAAACTACGACTTAGACCACCTCTTTATAATAACGTCGCTAGACCTAACGATAACATAATTATAATAAAAAAAGATAAAAGATTAGAAGTTTTTAAACGCAATAATCTTTACAAAAACTATTAAATAAAAGCTACCCCTACTAAAGAGGCCGAGGATAAAAGCGGCACTAAATAAATATATTAATAAGATAATTAAAGCCCTTATAACAGCTATTAATAAAGGAGTACTAATAAAGACCCGTTCCCCTAAGTCAAGGCTAGGCTAAAATAAAAAATAAGCTAAAATCCTTATGGAAACTAAACGACTACGCCGATAATATAATATAAAACTTACTAAACAAAGCTAGTAAAAGTATTTTATATTATAAAATAAAAAAGGTAAAATTATTAAAAAGGTATTATAGAAAATACACCATAAGGTAGTAAAAATAGTAATAAAATCGCTAAAATTATTTTAAAGGATACCTAAATAAGTCTAAATTAAATAGAACTAAACGTTAACTATTATATTAAAAATTATAAACCTTAGCACGGCCTAGGTAGCTACTACGCTAAAAAAAAAACCGAGATTTTTAAAAAGACTTTTTGTTTAACGCCCCTAAAGGCCTATTTTAAAAATATAGAAAACGTAATATATAAGGAATAGATTAAACTCTTATTAATATTAGAAAACGAAATAAAAAAAGTGATATAAAAAACGGCACCGCTTAAGGCACCCGGCCCCGACGGAATTATAAATAAAGCGTTATAAATAGCTAAGCTATAAATTAGCCCCTATTTAACTTAGGTATTTAACTAGAGCCTCTAGCTCGGATACTATTTATAATACTTTAAAACGTTTATAATAATTATGCTACGGAAGCTTAGTAAAGATAACTATATAATACTTAAGTTACATAGACCGATAGTATTTTTAAATACTGTTAGGAAGATTATAAACGTAATTATAACGGAAAGATTAAGTTATATAACCGAAACGTATAAACTATTATTAAAAAATTATATAAGTAAAAAGAAATAAAGATTAATAAAAAACGCGTTAACGTACTTATATAGCGAGCGGGCTATTATAACGAGCAAGCTATTTATTACGGCCAACTAATCGTAATAAGGTTTATATTAATAAAAATCAAGGCTACGATACTCGTAAATAGTAATCGTTATAAAAATAATTTTAATAAAGTTATTATTTATAAGTCGTAAGGTAAGTAAGGTTTTAATAATTAATCGTAGTCTTATTAAATAAGTTCTTAATAAAAATAGTTAAAAACGATCGTTAAATTTAGTATAAAAATTAATTATTAAAGAAGCTATAGAAATCTATTTTTAAACCTAGCTTAGGCTATCCTATATATAAATCTTAATTATAAATATATTTTTTATAATATTTTATTTATTATTATCTAACGGTTTATCGAACGGTTATTCGTTTTATATTTTTATAATCGTTCGTTTTATTTATTTACGAACGTCCGTTTTTTATTTTATTATAAAATCGTAATTACGTAATTTATTTATAGTTTTTTTATTTTAAAAAGAGCTATTTAAGTTTTTATTATTATATATATAATATAATAGCCGCCGTAAATTTTATAAAATAAAGCCTTAATTTAGTAATACGTATTAAATCGTAATTTTAACTTTTCTTTTTAAAGTCTAATCCCTAGGCTTATAAATAGGTCGTTTATTTTTAAATTAAAGAATCGTTAAATATTTTTATTAAAATATATTAACGTTATATTAAATCCAATTAAAAAATTAAAATCGTAAATAGCTATATCTTATCGTTATTTATTACGTATTATTTATTTTTTTAATAAAAATATAAAAATAATATTATATTTAAATTATCGTTCTCGGGGCGTTCGTTATTTAGTTTTTTTTAATTTTAATATTCACGGGATATATTATTATTTAAGTATTTCGTACGATACTTTTATTAATATTATTTATATTTATAAGTTTTTTATAAATAGTTTCTTATAGATCCCGATTAATAAATATAATAAATTATTTAATAGTAAAGTTTAATCGTTTTAATTATAAAAAGTAAATAAAAGAGTTACGGTTTTAAAAAAAAGCTATAAAATTATAAAAAAAGGCTAAAGCTTATTAAAAAGCTTAGGTTAAATTAAATAAATCGTTATTTAAATTAAAACGCCTTTGTTTTTAGAAGTAAATAGTATTTAAAAAAAGTTATATTATATTAAAAAAATTTCTTAAGGATATTAAGAATATTTCTTTAGCGGCCCGGGAAACGTAAGTTAATAATATTTTTAATATTATTAATTAAAACGTCGTAATAGCTAAGAGTCTTAAGTTTAAATTTAATTTTAATATTTTTTAAGAAGCTATTAAGAGTTTTAAAGGTTCGTAACGGGTTTTTATATATTATTTTTATATTCGTAATCTTTTCATTTAATAAGGTATTTTTTACATTTTTTTTTAATTCGGTAATTAATAACTCGTTCGACTTCGTATTTTAGTTTATTAAGTTCAATAATAATACGATTTTTAATATATAAGCTTTTAAATACCGGTTTTAGGAATAAGATATAAAAAACCGGGTAATATCGCATCGTATCTAAGAGTTTTAATTTAAAATTAATTAATAAAACTTTTTTAATAATTTCGAAAAGTTTAAATTTTTTATAATTTAATTTATCGTTTAATCGTTTATTTTAATATTATAGCGAAAGAGATATATATTATTTCCTTTTTTTAAAATTAGTTTACTAATTTTTAATTTATTAATATATTTTTTTATTTATTACTATATAAATTTAAGGTCTAAAGAGGTTTCCTTTTAGATCTTTTTAAGTTTATTTACGTTTATTACGGCTTTTATAGCTTATAATCCTTCGCGTACTTCTTTATATATAATTAATTAAAATCTATAATTAAAATAAAAAAGGGATTCTTTTATACTTTTATTAACTACGTTATTATATATAAACTAAGTTATTAATAATAATATTACCTAATTATTTTAATTATAATTTATATAATAGCGGAAGTATATTTTAAAAATCTAATTCATTTTTTCTATTTATTTATTAATTTATAAATAAAAAAAGGTCGATAGTTTATAATTTATACCGAGTTACGAAATTAAAAAGCTTTAAAACTTAGTAATAAATAGCTTATTTTTATCGGAAACTATTTCTTTAAGTAAACCGTAGTTAATAATAACTATTTTAAAGAAAGTATATACCAATTCTTTAATATTACTTACTTTTTTATATAATATAAAATAAATAAATGTAATAAGTCGGTTGACGATAACTAAGATATTATCGTATTATATATTTATAAATAATTCCTTAGACTTTAATAGTTTAACAATAAAAGTTTAAAAAATTAAATATTATATTTTTAATAATACCGATAGAGGTTATAGCTCTTTATAAGGCTTATAAAAGCTATTTTTACTTTTTTTATAAATATTATAGTTTTTAATAGCTTTAGCGATTTTTATTTTTATAACGGTTTTATTATAATATTAATAAATCCGTTTTTATATCTTTATAATATTTTAGTAACTATATGCTCGAATATTATAAACTTTTATAATAAGCTTAAGAGTTATTTTTTTAAACGGGCTAATATTAACTTTTTTAATTATTATAAAAAGTTTTATAATAAATATAAAATTATTATTATCGTCGTATTTAAAGATTACTTATATTTTTTTAAGGATTATAACTTCGTAATTAAGTCGTTTATTAAAAACGTCTATTCTACCGTTTTTTAAACTTTTTTAATAAATAATTCGGAAATTAAATTCTAATAAGAATTTGCTCTATTCAATTTATTATTTATTTAAATTTTTATTTATTATAAAGTTCGTAAGGTTTTTATAATTTATATAGATAATAACTTCGTATTTAGTTCTTAAAAGCTATAATTTTTATTTTTTAAAAGCTTCGATTATAATTATTAATTCTTTATTATAAATTTATTAATTTAATTCTATTTTATAGAACGCTTTAAAATAAAATATATAAAAATAAAATACTTTTTATTAATCTTATTATTTTGAAATAGCTTTTATAGCGAAATCCAAAGCGTCGATCTCGACTTTAAACGGTTTCTTTAAATCCGGAATTATAATTATTAGTTCCGAAGTAACTAAATCTTTAACTTTATTAAAAATTTCTTTATATTTTTTATCCTAAATAAAGGTTATATTTTTTTTTATTAAGTTATTAAAAAGTCTAATAATATTAATATAGTTTTTAAAAAATCGCCGGTAAAAGTTAATAAATCTTAAAAATAATTATACGTTTTTAACGTTAATAAATATAGGCTAATTTTTAACTATTATTACTTTAAATACTTATATATAAATTTATTTTAATATAATCGTATAATTAAAGAAATTTACTTTTTATATATAAAATTCATATTTATTAAGCTTAGCAAAAAACTTTACATTTTAAAATTTTTAAAATATTATATAAACGTGTTTTTTATATATCTCAAAATTAAAAAAAAAAATAAAAATATCGTCGAAATAAATAATTATAAAAATATTAACGTACCTTTTAAATACGTAATTAACTATTATTTAAAATATAATAAATATATTAATAAGTCCGAAAAGTATAATTAGGTATTTATAAAGTCCTTTATAAGTTCGGAATACCGTCTTCTATTCGTCTCCTTTTTTAATTTTAATTTAGTTAAATACTCTTTTAAAATCTATTATAATAAATTATTAGGCTCTATATAATATTTCTTTAAATTTCATAATAAAAGGTAATAAATAGCAATTCTTTTTAATAATTTTATTAAATCCTTTATAATTAATTATAAATCTAAGTTCTTTTTTATTTTTTTTAAGTATAAAAAAGATTAGTATTTCTATTAAAAAAGATAATAATTTAATATAACCTTTTTTAAATTTATCGTCGATATACTTATTAAATTTATTATATTTAAATTAATTTATAAAATATAGTAAATAAAACTTAAGTTATATTCCTTTTTTTAATTCGATTTTTATATTTTAATTACTACATTTTAATAGTCCTATTTTCTTTTTTAAAATAAATAGTTTTATATAATCCGGTATTTTTTAAATATAGTTTAAAATAGGTCCGATTTTTAATTGTCCGTATTAAGTACGAATATTTTAATAAGTTTTATCGTTTTAATAAAAGCGATATATTTAGTTTATTTTTATTTATTAAGTATTATATAAAACTTATTTAAACCCTTTTCCTTAAGTCATTTAATAATTAAATCTATTTAATAAAGTTAGCCGGTTCTTTAATTTATTTATAAATTATATTTTCGTAATTACGAGATTTTTAAAATAACGTCGGTATCTCCAATCTTTATAATATTATATTTTAGTTATTTTAATTAATTATTAATATATATCGTAAGGTATATACTTTTTAATTAATATATCCGTTATTATAATTAACTTATTTTTTTTTTACTATTTATAAAATATATAAATTCGTTTTTTATATTTATAATAATTTATATTTATTTACCATTTTAATAAAATAAAAAGTTTTTAAACGCTATTATCGATAATAATATTTATATTATATCCGTTTATTTAAAATTTAAATCGTAAATATTTTTTATTAAAAAGTATTATAAAATATAAAAATTTATTTATTTTAGCCGCTTTTTATTGTTTTTTTATAATTATTATATTTAGTTTTTTAATATTTTAAAGGCTAATACTCGTCCTTTTTTTATAAACTGTTCGTAATTAATTATTAAATCGGGGCGCTTTTATTTTTAATAAGTGAATATAATACGTTAATAATATTATAGATATTATTTATTTCTTTATTAATAGGTTTTCTCCTTTTAAAAAACAATTTATAATTTCTAAATGTTTTAATATTAAATTATATATTTAAAATATATTAGTTATATAAGTAGTCTTTTAAATCCTTAGTAAGTTAATTTAATTCTTTTTAAAAGCTTATAGATTCTTATTATTTTAATTACCTATTTAAATCGGCTTCCTTTTTAATAATAAAATCGTTAATATTAAATAATATCCTATAATCGATTTTTAATTAAATACGTCGTTAAGCGACGTCGCGAGGTTCGTTTAAGTTATAAAGTAATTATTAACTTATTAATTATTTATAATTTAATATATTAATATTATCTAAAAAGGGGTCGTAATTTAATCCCTTAATACTAAATTTTATAAATATATCGTTAATAATTCCTTCGCTTAAGTTTTTTAATTTAGTATTTTTTTTAAACGTAGGAAAGTTTTATTTTAAACGGAGTATATTATCTTTTATTATTATTTTAAATTATTTATATAATCTTTATTATAAAATAATAAAAATTATTTTTATAATTAAATATTAAAAAATATAAGCGTTTATTATATAATAAGCCTCGCTTAGTTCCTTAATATATTAATAATAACGTTTTTTTAACATCTAAAATCCGTATATTAAATATATAATATCTATTTCTTTATTAATTTTATATTTTAATTAAAAAAGATTTTTTTTCGTTTTAACTTTTAATCGTTTTTAAAATCGTTATTAAAATAAAACGAGTATTATTTTTATATTTAGTCGCTTTTTTTTTAATAATCGGCCGGTTTTATAATAACTAATCAAAATATAAATATAATCTTTATTATAATCCTTTATTATTAAAAAGCGCTATTTTTAATATTAAATTATTTTATTAAGTATTCGTTATATTATATAAATAGATTTATTTAGAATCCGTATTTTATAAATTAAAATCTTGTTTTTTAATTAAAATAAGTCGTTTTTATTTTTAATTACTATCTTTTTTTTTAATCTATTTCTTATTATTATAAGGGTTTACGCTCGCTTAGGAAAACTAATAGGTTATATTTTAACTATTTTATATATTATTAATAATATTTAGATATACTTTTTATTATAGTCTTTAATAATTTTAAGGCGTTAAACTACTTTTTATTCATTTATTATAATAAATGTTTTTTAAAGTATTATTTTAATTATTTTTTACTATCTCGATAAATAAAATAGTTATTATCGTAATATATAATCTAAAAAAGTAATTTATAAAATACTTCTTTAGAAGTAATATTAATTTATTTCTTAAGGATAGGTCGTTATTAAATTCGTTTAGGTTATTTATAATTTTTAATTATATATTTTAGTTTATTATAATTATAATATTTAAATTTCTTTTTTTAATAGGATTAGTCTCGTTTCGTTATATTAAGGTTTATAAATCCGTTATATTATTTATAAATAATAGTTTGTTAAAAGTTATTATTCTTATTATAATAATATCTTTAATTAAAGTTACGTTAAAATTATTATTAATATTTATATCCTAAGTTAAGTTTTTATCGTTATTCTTTTTTTTCTTTTTTTTTTTTATAAAAGCGGTTATCGATCTTAATTACGAATTTAATATATTAAAAGAAATTATCTAATTTATCGATTTTAATAAGTTTGTTTTTAATTTTATCTTTTAATCCTTAATAAAATATAAAAATCTTAATATCGTTAATAAAATTAAGTTAAATATTAAAACATCTAAACTCAACTAAATAGTCTTTTATTAATTTCATTTA